TTGCAGTAGTAGGCAGCGTTTACTGTCTGTCGTTGAGGTACAGTGTGGTGCAGTATTGCAGTATCACTGTATCAATGTCTTATGCCACAGTGAACATCGCCTTCACATTACTCTGTGTAGGGTGCACTTTCTTTGGACAAGGAGAGTCAGGATGCTTCCATTCATTTGATTGCCGCTTCAAGTGCGGATTGTATGAGCGAGCCCAAGTTTCGTCCAGAGTGATGATCCTTCCAAGGAAGTCGTCACCTTCCCTCTGGTACTGGTTCAACAAGTCCCAGTATCTAAAAATATCGTGCAGAATGTGGAGCATGGTTTTGTGACATACACCTACCTCAGCAGCTAGCTCCCTCGCAGCCCATCGACGATCGACATCCAGCAAAGAAGCAAGAAGCTGAATTGTGTGGTTGTCAACATGGGGTCGTCCTGAATGATGGCTGTCCTGAACGGCATCCCTCCCTTCACAGACCAATTTCACCCATTGTGCCACTGTGTGATATGGCAAGGCAGCATCACCAAATGTTTCTTGCAGTCCCTGATAAAGAGTTTTGCGTACTATGACCTCGTGCAACTTCAATTTTTAACCAGGAGCGTTGTTCTTGTTTCGTAAACATGTTGTTTGGGTGCTTGAACTGGGCTCCTGCACTTCAAGATGATGCACAATCCAACTCAATGAAACACAACCAGAACCACTCAATGCACTACTTCTGCTATCAGCTACAGACGGCGCTAGTGCCACCTGACGTACATCTTTCATGTTACAGCAGTGTTGCCACTACTTTTTATCCAACCCTTGTATCCAAGAAAATAGAACTCTTCATCAATATCTGTTCAGTAGTTTTGGAGATGAAACATGTGAACAGATGTATGACTGCCCCTGTGTTTAGTTTGATGCTTTGTACAAAGAAGACATAGAAATGTGTGATGTAAAAACAATTCACTTACCCCTAACTGCTGGTGGTCTGGTAGGAGCTACAACACCCAGTTGGCGCTCTCTCTCCCTCTGCAACCTTCGGTTTGTCTTGGTAGATTCATCGAGATCTCTACGGATTTTCAACAGATCTTTGTCCTTGGCTGCCAACTCAAGTTTTAGACCTCGTATTGTTGCCAATAGATGTGCATCTTCCCGCACAGCCAGAGCATTAGCTGGGGGTGCCCCAACAGTGATGACCATGGGAGGTGCTGCTGTCTTTTTATTTTGCTTCATCTCTCGTATGGGCTGTTCTTCTGCCTTCCTCTCTGCTGCAAGTCTGGCCTCATTCTTCTCTGCAGCTTGTCTCCACATGTGTGCCTGATGTTTTGCACTTGCCAGCTGAAGCTCTAGGTCTGATGTGTGTTCCTCATATTTCAACTGCAAGTAAGAACACAGTCATATAAATCTTATTTCAGGAAAGCCTTGACAAAATTAATGAAATTCCACCATGGGGATAAACACAGAAAAATCAGTTATGGCATTCAGGGAGAAACTCAGCAGACTGGTATTGCAATAATTATCTAGAAACTGATCTGGAAGATGCTCAATTCAGATCTTGTCCAGGGTACAAGTTATCCTGACTGAGGTTTTACATTTTTTTTTTCAGTTTTTCCAGGCCGAGTACAATATCTCACTTGATAGTGCTTCCTTTGAAATCCATTCCATCTCAGTAATCACTAATTATATTGTGACATGACACCTGAAAGCCAGATAAGTTCACTGCTAAGCAATGACTTGGCAAGGAGGTTCCAGTGGAAAGTAACACACATTCACCAATACAAGAACTGCCATTTCTGTGCAACAGCAAGGTAATCACACCTCTATAACAATAGAGGAATTGTTAGGAAGCAGTATTTTCTGCTGGGGCCACACCGAGGCTACATAACAAAGATCTCAAACCAGCTGAGATATAGAACTGAGGGAGTCTCTTGAGACAGCAGCGGAAGATAACTGAGAAGAGATAACAGTTCCAGCAAAGAATTAGATTGAGAGTTCTGGAGTTGGCAGCTGTCAGTCGATAGTGAATTAACATGAGTTCTGTGTGGGCAGCTGCCACAAGAGGACATGAGTGCAGGAAGCTGAAGAATCTCCACTGTTAGAATCCGCTGCCAGGGAATGGCTAGTTAAGACATAGCAGGCTGGAAAAAGGCTTAATTGCTGCTGTAGTGACATGTAAAGCGTGGAGATTAGTGACAGCACTGTAATTACGTGTAGGTCCAAGTCCTGTCAATAAATCCAATATCCAATCCATATCCCCTCTATAAGTAATGCACCCTAAATATGTCACAGTACCCTACCTTTTGCCACCGTACTGTCCATATACTGAGTGAGATGTAAAATACAGCAAGTATGCCCCCCCCCAGAGAAAATACCAGGCAGAAGTAAAAATTGTATTAGTCTTTTAAGGAGTGGTTATATCAAACCAAATTTCTGTGTAAGAAATTTGTCCAAACTATGAGTTCTATGGTCATATTCTATAATTTCCATGAGGGTCAAAGTCCATACTGCAAATATCTATCACACGGGGGTGTACTGTAGTGACAAATAAAGGAAAACATTACATGAGTGAACATGGTAAGAAGCTTTACTTGAACATATGATAGGCAATTTTGAATATACACAATTAGAACTCATAACCATCACTCAATCTGCCAGAAACAGTCTGTGTGAACTGATCGATTGGTTAGTCTAAATAATGTACTGTCATGATTCCCAAGCATTTCTTATTTACAGACAAATAAATGAGCAGTGGGTTTTTTTAAGGACTGATTCCCAGTCTCACATGATACTGTACAAAAAACAGTTTAGAACACCATTATTTTTAACACAGGAATTAATGCTTTTATGTGGTACTGAATCAATAGATGTCATATGTACACGTTTCTTTTTTTCTATTTAATTCACAGAGACTGGTAGAAATCATAGAGGGAAGCACAATGGACCACTACAGGTCTAACTGCATGGGGACACCAACCCTCTCTAATAACTAACTAACTAATCTAACTAAATGTTGCATCTAACTGAATGCAGAGTCCAACGTCGCAATCCATGCACTTTGTCCGGATGTAACTCTGTTTCCCACGCGAAGAGCACACATGACACCTCAGTCTTGTATTAGAGGAAGTCTGCCAGTGATGTCGAGTGGCCTCCTCTAATCGTAATGCTTATAAAACATTGCAATTTCAATTATCCACCATGGCCTCATTTCGCATGGAAGAAGCTGAAATTGAAAGGCAGCTGATAAATGACACAGATTCAGACTGCGGTACAGACGACTCTGAAAGTGGCGAGGAAGCAAGGGGGCAATGCGGGGCTATTCCGAGAACAGTACCTCTGTGTGGCTAGCTGAGATATACACAGTCAGAGTTCCTGAACAAAGTACGATAAGACTTCAACGACACTCATGCATACAGAAAAGTTCTGACATGACTGGAGAATGTGCAATACAAACATAAATTTCCACCCCTTTTGCCAGATAAGACATAGTAAAACCGGATGTCAGCAGTGTGCATTTATACTGCACAAACATTTTGTGCAGAAGCTTTATGCATGTTTGCGAGTAGATGCTCAAAATTGGGAAAATATTTTTTTGGAATCAGTGTAACAATTTTTATAGATTTTAAAATCTGTAAATTATAATATCTGATTCTATATTCTTTCTAGATAAAAGCAGTGTTTATTTCGTTCATTTATCACAAAAATTGTAGAAATCACAGCATTTTCAGTAACATGCTTACAATTTTTAATACTCTACAATGGCGGGCATTTAAATTAACTCCGGCCTGCTGCCATTATTGGAATTTAAATGGCCCGTCTCTTAAAGGTTAAGGAAGCTGACATTTCCTCCTCAGAGGTCAGAAGTTAAACAACCTCTACATTATACGTCAGAGTCTTTAAATGAAGAGCTCAGGTGACACCCTGGCTTGACTGCAGCCCTGCAAGTAACATGTGTGGGGAGTGTCGCCAACAACACCTTACCTTCATGGAGTGGAACTTGTCCTGGATCTCCCTGACACCGACTTGAGCATCTGTCTCGCTCTTAGACAGTTCCTGTTCCAACTGCTGCACTCGGTTCTCAAGGTACTTGAAACGGGGCGATGCTTCGCTTCCCTCACTGTTAGCTGTCAAAATCAGAGCTGAGATGGAGTCCGGATGGTTCCGTTTCAAGATCTGTTCCATTTCCTTTACCTAAAAATAATGGAAGTGAGAAACCTATGGAATACACAAATTTTCTAAATATGTTATTTGCAATTCTTCATTCTTTAGGGATCCTGATGTTAATTTATTGCATATACAAACCCAGTGTTGCTAAGCTAATAAAAACACACATAAATAACACACACTGTTCTTTTACGATGTTAAATATTCACCACAAGCAAAATCTCTGCAATAAAAGCTGAGACTTATGTTTTATAAAACAAAAACAAACTCCGTGGTTTTAGTCTGCAAGCAAACTATTCCGACCAAGTGGTCGTTGCTTGTGGGCAAAGTCAGAGCCAACTTTAGCGGACAGAGGGTGTTGCATGGTCAGCACAAGGGATCTCCATGGCCATTAATTTCAGTTTTCTAGACTGGATATGCTATTTCCTTGAAATAGCTCCTCAGTTATCCTCATGAGCCTGAGTGGACCCTGTTCCAGACCCACTACTTCTCAGAAAATCTGGTAGCACCGGGAATCGAACCTGGACCTCTGGATCTGTAGCCAGAAACTCTGACCACTGAACCACAGTGGCATATCTTGTACTAATTTTTGTAAGCCGAACAACTTTTGAAAAATCTGACAGGTTTAGTTTTGGTTTCAAGTAAAGTAAGGGATGTAAGTGAACAGTTAACTTAATTTCCTATTCTGCAAGCAGCCAGGTGCTGGGTCAGAGCCTTTGCAGACCTCAAGGGACAGCGACAAATAAGCACGGAACAATGGCAGAATGATGTTTATCAGGGGGAGAATGGCAAGACTTGGAGAAATATCTGCTCAAATGGCACTTTGTCTACAGCAAATCTCACATCATATCCTGCGGCAATGAGCTACGGCATGGCCAATATGCACCAAAAAACAAAATTTTCCTGATGACTTTTGCTGGGCAAACAGGCATCAAGTCTGCATTATGTGGTATTTGCATGCACTTGGTACAGATAATGCACATGAAAGTATTGCTTAAAACTCAAGATGTAGGATGCAGTGTGCAATGTACATCAAACTTTTGGTTCAGATATCATAAATCCAAATCCAAATGGATATAAAATTTTTCACAAGTATGGAGGTGAAAATGAGAAGGGACAGAATTGGGAAAGATGTGGAATGGAGTGACCATAGCCTTATTTGAACTACTATCCCAGAATTTCCGTGACAAGACCGAGGAAAACTAACAAACATCTCAGTCAGGATAGACAGTATCCTGGCTGAGATTCAAACTGGACACTTCCAGATATATTGGCTAGAAGTGGTAGTGCCTGAGCCAACTTGCTCAATCTTAACAACATTAGACTCAATAAATCACAGAGGATATGCTAGATATGCACCTGTCTGTTGAGATCCTGTATCTTCTTTTTATCTTCTTCAGTTCTGAGGTTATGTGCTCGAGTCTGTGCACGCTCCTTTGCAAGAAAGCCCTGCAACTCTGACACCTTTGCCTCCAAAGCTCCCACCTGAAGTTTATTTTCAGCCACCTCGGCTTTAGCAGTTTCTGCCTCCTTCCTAGTTGGTTCAAACTCCTTGTGTATTTTCTCCAATTCCATTTCCTTTTTAGCCAGTTCCTTCCTGACATGATCCAGTTCATGGTTCGTGGGGGTTACTTTGAGTGGTGGGGCTGCAGTTGTGACAGCAACACATTTGTGCTTCTCTAACTCCGTTTGAAGAGTTGTGATGATTAACTTAAGCTGTTTAGCATTTTGTTCCAAACTGCCATTCTTTTCCTGTATTAACATAATGAAACAGTAGTCACAATGCATAACAACAATATTATTTTTGATCTGAGTTTCTCACAATGGCTGACTATTAAGAGCAGTCTTCTGCACTGTAGTTTGGAGACAGCCCAACATTTTAGACGAAGAGACTGCCTCCATCTTCAGGGATCAAAGAGTAAATCAAGCAAGAAACCTCCGGAAGCAGGCAGCAATAGCTGTTTGTAATTCTCTTCTGCTGGTTCCTTGCTTGGATAACTCCTCAGCCCTGAAGACAGTGAGGATATGTTCCGCCGACAAGTTAGGCTTTTTCCCAGCTATGTGGCATTCCAACCCAGAAGCATGTACTCCTTATAACAATATTAAATCAGAATATTTATTGGATATCCCGATTACAACCGGATATTAATTGACACTGGTATGATTAGGAGTTAAACATTTATTAAAACTTTATTAACATGACTATATCATATGAGATTTAAGGTTGTTATGACAGTGACCATATGGATTACTGTCTCCTGCAACATGATTCATGTAGTCTGGTGGAGAGTTACCAACATGGTGACAGAACTTCTGCCTCCAGCTTCAGGGTATGAGAGTGGCATCGAGGCAGTACATTTCTCTGAAAGGTTGACAGTTATCTCATAGACTTTGTGGTGTCACATCCCAAGACAATAATCTTCAAACTTACATCATTTTTAAAAAATTTCAAAACTTAATTATCTGGTTCAACAGTGGCCCAAACAATGAATGTCCATGCAACAGAGCGTCACATCATCTAAATGCTGATGGGCCATAGAGTTACAAAGCTCCATGCATTCTTAACATGACTATTATCATGATGTTTTGTATTTTGTATCCCAGGATACTGTGACATGATATCTGAAAGCGAAAACAATGGAGCCAGAGATGTTCATTGCTAGGCAACAGCTCGGTAAATAGCTTCCCATGGCGACAAATACATAAGCAACAATACAAGTATTGTTGAGCTGTAATGATGGATATGGCGTATTCTGTTGGGTCTACCCCCAATGCTTTATAATGAGGATCCCAGGCCAGCTGGAAGAATGGCGTAGACAGCTGTGTGGCAGCGGGGTCAAATACCTCCACTGTGACCCTGCGAGTCGTAGGAGGCGACAAAAAGGGAAGTCTCAAATTTGAGACAGTAATATATGGTCTTGAGTACCAAGGGACTCAGACCAGAGAAAGACTGCGCTGGCAAGGAATAGCAGCATATACAAAAGACAGACCCATCCTCTCGTTAGAGAGGGTGCCCACACACACACACACACACACACACAAAAAGACCATAACTGTCAAACAGTAATAAATATCTTGTCATGAGCCCCAAGAGGGTGCTCGACTTACTGACTGATTGTCAGTTGCAATGTGGCTTTGAGCTGGAAGAATCAGAATTAAGGGAGTCTCTTGAGAAGACTTAACGTGTCATTTAAAGACTTTACTGAGACTATTATAAATCCACGGCCAGGGTACAACTAGTGATGACTGAGAAGACCTAATATGTCCTAGTGATTCATAGTGTGGAAATCAGCAGTGGTGTTATAATTACTTGTAGCTATGAGTTGAGTGTTAAAGTGGTCAATAAATTCAAACCCCATCATTTAGTCACACACGTGATAATGTGGTAGTATTTTATAGCTTATGTCCCAGTTTACTACACTGAGACATGTGTTGTTTTCACACTATTTTGAACGAATACAGATGGTGACAAGCATTGTGGTACCCCACAAGCCATAATGAACTTGCCCCCTTCAAGCTTGCATGGTATCAGGTACACATGGAGATGGCATAAAAAATGTCAATTGTGGGCAGTGGTGTCCCCTGTGACAGCAAAGTTCAGGGCCTGCAGAATCATATTGGAAATATGGCTAAGTAGGTCCTAGATGTCTGGATGTGGTAAAAGTAAAAAAAAGTAAAGCTATCCCTGTAACAGGCCATGAAGGCCCATAGGTTGTGAGACGGTGAGTGTCCCACATTATCTTTACAATCGGCCCAAAGATTGTCAGCCTTATGTGCCAGCCGCGCTTTACTCCCCAGGAAAATTATTTAATGAATTCCTGGTACTGATTTCTGTTAGTCTGAGTCAACCCCAGGGTCATAGTGCGGCTGAAGGATTAGGGCAATAGAAAAAAATCCAATGACCTCATTGTGACCTGAACCTGCAACCTTCCGGCTTGTAGCATAGCCCCTCAACCAACTACGCTACTGTGTACCCCATCTGGATGTGGTACCAAAAAGAAAATACCAATCCTACAAAAAAATTGAACCCCAGTTACCTAGCCTGCATTTGGCACTTCACTGACCAAGCCATTCCAGCTGCAAAACTTATCACCTTTAAACAAAATTACCACAAGTCGCAAGTACTAGCAACATGCACAGCGTGATGAACTTTATTCAGGACTATCACCATCAAACTGTAAGAATGGCCTACCCGAAGAGATTGCACTTCAACCTGCAGCCTTAGTATCGCTTCATCTTTATCTTTGAGTTGCTCCTTAAGACCCTCTACATCCTGCCATTGCCCTCCTAATGAAAACTGCTGTCGCTGTGTTGCAAAACTCTGCTCCCTTGCTTTCAGCTCCTCCTACAAAACAAGGTCACATGTTAGTTATTTCTGTCTGTAGTTCATCTGAATAGGAATATATACCAGAATTATACAAACCATGTTCTTAAAACTGCATCCAATCAGTGTTATGGATAGGAGGATATTGGAGTAGTTGAGAATTATAACTTAACTGTTATATAACTTGTGATCTGTCCTTGCATGAAATTTCAGCTATGATAAACTTCCACGTACAGGTAGTCTTGGTTAATACAACAGTTATGTTGCCACAGGGGTGAGGAGGGGGTTCACACAGGGTGAAATCACAAAAATTGAACATTACCTAGGCCAAATTTTCTGTTCTTCCTAACACTGTTCCTTCATGTATACAGTACTCTACTCCTGCTTTACTTGCATCTCTTCATCAGATAACAAGCAATTAAAATTAAAGTGAGTTCCACTAATTGAGATTGACCTAATTTGGCACACTTCATTAAAAGAAAATCACATTTTTTTCAAACTTTTACAAAATAAGGAGTACTTGTATAGGAAGCACATCCAACTTAACCTTACAGGTGTGTGCAATCACAATGCTCTTAGTTTTGAAAATATTGTGACATGTTGTGCAACGGCGAAACCCTCCCTACCCAGCAGCAACGTGGCAACTCAGGCCACAGTGACATGGTGGATGAGTCAGCGCTCCCCTCCCCCCCTCCGCATGGTAACGTAACGCGCAATGTGCGGTGACGTAAGACGGCGTGAGGTAACAGCGTTGCTACATAACAGGCACACACAGCCACTATATAAGAGAGCTGCACTGCCTGCGAGTTAGTTGTAATGTGGCCATCACAGAGTTCAGTTCCGAGTTAGTTTTCAAGGCAGCTACCTATGAGTTAGTTCCGAGCAAGCCTACGAGCAGTGTGTTATCAACAGTTCTCCAGTCAGCCGACTATAGTTGGAGTATAGCAGCGTTCACGGAAAGAAGAACCGGACGTGTGTGTAATTGTGTAATTGGGAGCGTGTGATACAGAGACACTTACATAGCTCCCCTACTGTAAACGTGTAGACTTCTGAAGACAGAGTGAACTGATTTGCGAATGGGGTTATAAATTGTGAAACCCCGCAACTGTGTGATGATTAATTGTAGCCGTTACTTGTAGGTTGTTGAATAAACCAATTAACAATCACGAACGGTGTCTTCAGTAACAAAACACGTTACAATATAAACACTGGTAAATGTGTCATACAGGCTTGTACTGTATCATTCTGCCCTCTTATCAAATTAACACGATAATGATTACATAATCAACATAACATTTATACATCTATAGCTATTAAATTCTAATGCAGCTGCAAATATTATCAGCATCTCTACCTTAAGAAAACTGTGTAGACAGTCTAATCATTAATCTGTAAAGTTTCATATAAAAATGTTGATGAAAACAAATACACTAATATGATAGATATAAATGGCATAAATGCAATGGTTCAGCAGCTATCATTACCAAAGATTAAGTACTGTAAATATTTCTACATTTTCTGCAAAACTGACCTTACTGAAAGTACGCCATTAAATCTAGCATACCAGGAATTATGATAAATTACTTTTAAAGTGTGATTAGATTTTGGGTGTTTCATGTGTACAATCAGCTGGAAATACCCAGTGCTGTTCAGTAAACTATAAATCAGTCTGGCAAACAATCAGGAAAGAAAGAATATTTTGTGAAAAACCTAACCATATGCCTTTCTAGAAATCTGCATTTCTATATGGGTTATTTTATGACACTGACCATACCTAGGCTATAAAATGTCAAAGGGTGGGATGATAGAAAAATGATAAATTTCAAGGATTTGGAAGGAAATAGTCATAGCCTATTTGGGGTACTTTGCCGGTAATGAAACATGGAAAAAAAAAAAAAAATAAAAGAAAAAGAGGAAGGGTAATATTTGATTAAAAATATTACTCATTGACTTAATATATTTATTTCACAAATACAAACAGATATTTTCACTGTCAACTCTCCAACCCTAGCTGTATGTGATGAACAGCCCATTTACTAGACGATGAATCAGACCTCTTCTCGGAACACAAACTGTGGTTTCCAGTTGTGAAACTGAATCATCTGACATTTGTTATTTCACTGGCTAAAGTCTTCACCGCTGCCAGTGCTTCGCGGGCTGTGGGAAGGATGTATTGTACAGGCAAGATGAAGCCGAAGAACCCACGATCTCGCAGCTCAATTGTGTAGGAATACTTAATGCCAGCTGCCCCCTTTGCCCAGTCATCTGATCCTCCTGTTGGAAGTGAGACAGACAGAAATGTAAATACTGGGATGCTAACATGCGGTTCATAATAAAATTAGCAGCAGGATGGAGTCAGGAAATGCATGATGTCACAGTATGTAAAGTCAACCCTGTGCTTAATTCATTCAGCACCATGCCATGAAGATGCATGGGGGAGTGGAGACATAGCTCCACCATTCTTGATCTTGGCACTATATGGAGGTGAGTAGTTAGCCTCATGCACTGGACACTTTACCTCTGAGAAAAGAGCCCCAGTACCCACTGTATAGGAGACTGTGTGGAGCACTGTGGAGTTCAGAACGTTCTCTTCTCCCTGCCGGGAGACCCCACCCTATGGCCTGCTGCAATGTTGACTAGGCTATTTTGGCACCACTGCTGGCTGCTGTCACAGTATTCAGGTCAAAACTTACATCACCCCAAATACTTTCTAAGTATCCGTAAGGGATATTTCCATGGAAACGCAATAACAGTGGGCCATTGCATAGGAACAGCCCAAACAACAAATGTGTTTCCCCGGACATGAAAGGACAACAGAGCGTTCACTGCATAACAACGTCCGAGACGAGGTTATAAAACTTCAGCTTCAACAAGAGACGAGTTCAATTTGTGTTTGACCTTCGAAGAGATCAGTCAGTAGTAATCAGTCTTCGGTTTGGCTTCGATTATAGCAGAAGCAGTAACTGAGATACTGAAATTATGAATAAGTGTACGTGTAAGTGTAAAAATAAGCGTCCAATAAAAGAATTTGTTCCGATCCAAAGACCCATGCAATTTATTCACATCACGTCACACAGTAGACACGTTACAATACTAATAATATCATCACATGAGAACTGGAGTGTACAATAGGAATTACTTGGTTTCTGGACCTGTGTTTGAAATCATGGAATCAACTACAGTTTAAATGTGACTTCAAACAAAACACATTCTGAAATCTTACACTTGCAAGTAAGGGAAACCTAAGCAGCCTCCATAGTCTAGAGGTAACGTTCCCACCTCATGACTCGTAATACGCGGGTTCAAATAACTGGCGGAGGTCGTCGAATTTTTAAGGGCGGAAAAATTCAGGGAACAAGTCCTCCGGGAGGGACTTTAAGCTGTGGGTCCTGTGTTGTAGCTTTACGGCATGTAAAAGAACCTCATATCTCCAAAGGAGGTCACTGAGCCAAATTACAGATGTTTCCCGCCCAACAGCAGTCTCTAATACCTCTGGTAGATGGGGGAAGCATTATAGATACCTCTCAGCTAGTAGAGCCGGTCTCGCTGGCTGGGCAGGACTGATGGTAAGCACCAGTACCGGTAGGATATAGAGGCTGGTAGAAATCATAGAGGGAAGCACAATGGACCAATACAGGTCTAAGTGCATGGGGAAACCCACCCTCTCCAATAACTAACTAACTAACTAACTAAGGGAAACCTATGGAAGTATGGTGAGATGGAGTATCAGATAACTGCATTATCTAATTTTTGCGCAAAACTGGAGAGAGTACATTCCAGTACACAGGCCATGATATATAAACCAACAATTTTTCAATTGTTATATAGCTTCAAGATGTGGTGTTTTATTTTTATTGTAGATAAGTGTCTGAGAATATAGGGCTGAGGAAAATGTTTTTGAAAGGGACAAAATAAGACAGCATATTACATACTGAGAAACTCTGTGACTTATATAAGCCACCTAGTGTTGTCAGGATGCTGAAATCAAAAGATACAGGATGGGATTACAGACAAAATAGGAAGGCAAAAAATGGAAAAAAAATTTTGGTTTATGTGGTAGCATGGTTGAGAAACTATGCTACAAGCCAGAAGGCTGTGGGTTCAATTCCCTATGAGGTCACTGGATTTTTCAATTGACCTAATCCCTCCAGCCTTGGGTAGAATCAGACTCTAACAGAATTAAATGCCAGGAATCTTTCTGGAGGTGAAGGGTGACCAGTGCCTAAAGCTGACCTCAGTGCCATCTATGGACCAACTGACAAGAAAATGTGAGAATCTTAATGTCTCACTATGGGCCTCCATGGCCTGTTACAGGGATAGCTTTGCCTTACTTTTTTGCTTTACTTAGAATTTTAAAAATGATTTGGGGATTTGGAAGATGAAAGATATGGCCAAGGATTTCTTATGGTGGGCTCTGGCATTAGCAAACCTGAACCTTTTGGTTCTTCTATCAGAGACCAAAGCAGTAACTTAACATTTGGTGGAAACCTTTGGTCATGTAAGATTTCAGGTTTCTATGGTGATGCATATAAACTGCCAGGAGTATTCTTCAGCATTCTGATATTGTGCAGGAACATAGCAGTTCCAACTTAATTCTCAAGTTGAGGAAGTATGCACAAGGCACCACAACTCATTTCTCTAAAACATATTCAAAGTTGTATCGTCATCATATAGCAACACACATCACTGTCATCATTAGACTGTTACAAAATTATATTTTCAACATACAATGGGAGAGAGCCAGGACAGCATAGTCAGTATAGCGACTGGCTATGGGCTGATGACTGAGGGGATGGAGTTCGAGTCCCAGTAGGGTCAAGAACTTTCTCTTCTCCAAGTTGTCCAGACTGGCTCTGGGGTCCACCCAATTTCCTATCCAATGGGTACTGGGGGCTCTTTCCCTCGGGATAAAGCGGCTGGGGCGTGAAGCTGACCACTCACCTCCAACTAGTGCTGAGGTCAAGAAAATGTTGATCTATACATCCACTCCCCATACACCTTCATGACCTAGTGCTTAATTTGTTAAGCACAAGGGACAACTTTACCCTTTTTACCTTACATATGTACAATGGGAGCCAAGTTTGATATACCAGAGATGTCACTGAACACAGGACTTTTCTCCATGACTTGTAGCATGCATGGGGAAGAAGAATGCACATAGGATTTTGCTGGGAGAACCAGAAGCAAAGGGATCACTATGAAGACCTTGAAGCATGTGGGAGGATAACATTAAAATAAAACCACACCTGAAGATGGCACATTAGTGCCGAAACATGTAGTGAAAAGAAAAGTGAAATTGTGTGCACTGTAAAATGGTTGGTACAAATACACATCATGAACGTGAATCAGTGCAACAGGACGCTAAAATATAACATTATTAAAATGGATCTTAGAGAGAGAGGATTGAGTGGTATGGACTGGATTGATCTGGCTCAGGACAGGGACCAGCAGAGGGCTTCTGTGAAAATGGTAATGAACCTTCAAGTTCCATAAAATGTTGGGAAATTCTTGAGTGGCTGAGTGCCTGGTGGATTCTCAAGAAGGGCTCGGTTCCTTGGAGTTAGTTTCTTAGTTTTTCCCACTTCTTCTTTTGCTGCCTACTCAAGGTACTATATACATTCAAAGACGTTTTGGACAAGCTGGTTGACATCTTATGCTTGCCTTGTGTCAAATATGAAGAGTCCATGGTAATATCCTCATTCTAGGGCATGCATGATTATTACTACTTGAGGAATTCAATAAGTAAACAAGAGACATAGCTGAGATACAATTTTTATGGGCAAGGAACCGGACAGTCTAGTAATAACTCCATAAGACCTGAAATTATTTGTGGAACTCACATCCAGTAATGGTTTTACTGAATTTCTTGGCCACTGCCATCACACATAAGTGAAAGAATCGACCTACGAGGTAGGATTTCACTGTTACCCTAGCTGGATGATAACAGGAGTGGAAGCTTAATGTGTCACATACATACAAAACAACAAGTAAATTTATAGTTTTATATATTTTATCATCTCATTTTTAGACAGCAGAAGGGAAGACAAAAGACAAACTGAAACATAAAACAAATGGGATGGTAAGTGAATTTTTCATGTACATATGCATGTAACTTTATCTTCAGGGTTAGCATAAGAGTTTTTCAACTTAATAAAAACAAATATTTCAGGATTTAATGTTCTCTTCATTCCATATTAATGTTGATCCCTTACCACAGCAGCATGGATAAGTAGATGACCATAAGATATGGATGGTAGCTGCAAATATTGTGAATAAGCAGTCATGTGCAGCTACAGAAAAAAGGTCCTTTAAGTTGGGGGTTAACATGGAGTAACATCCTTTACTGCAGATATAATATGAAGTAACATCCATTATAGCTGTTTTGAAGCATCTTACCTGAAGCTGGGTACAGGGTGGCCGCTGCACCACCAACAGTGTAACTGGCACCACCTGCCTGGTACATTGCATTGGCAATCTTGTGACCAACACGACTCAGATCTGCATGGTCAGGTGGATATCCCCTGACATAGCCCCAAGGATGCAGGATATACTGACCGTAGCTATGAAATGACACATATGCCTGCGTAAACAGAAAAATTCACATTATTATTAATGGGTGCCCATTCTGCTCAACCCTTTGTCAATAATGAGCAGGGGTAAGAAAATTTGGTTCCCAGGTTTCCTGTGGCGACCAAAAAATTTGGGCTGGTGACTATTTTCCCACTCAGCATTTGGAAGGGGAGGTGTGGATTTCTGGCAATCTCATTTGGACACTTGTGGCACTGAGAAAATGGCAAACCACATTCAGAGAATAACATAATTAGTAAGTCATAACAATTAATCTCTTTAAATTGGTTCCCCCCATTTATCTTTTAATTGTGCATGACCTGAAGTTCTCACAGTGGTGGTTATGACGAGATCTATCTTCTGGGATATATTTTCCGTGTGGCACCCTGAAATTCGACTGATGTTTCGGAGAAATATGTTGCCTCCCAGACATCGGATGACTTTCAATGGACTACATGGTGTTACTTTCCACAAGAATGAAGTCTTAACCTTTTCACTGGCATGTGTGTGTTAGGACCAATGGTAAAACAACAGCAAGAAATAAACCTTGTGTTCTGAGTAGAGGCGAGAGCCAAAGCAAGGTGTCATGAAATACTGATCCACACTTCTCTGGTGATCAAGTTTAAAAAATTCTGAACCTCTCATAATGAGCACCATGAAACAGATTTTTCCCCCCCTGTGGTTCCATTCTCGAGATCACGCCCTATTGCAGTTGACTTGTTTGCTGACATCTGTGAGAACCTGACTGTCTCCAGCATCAAGGCTAAGTGACTGAAATCACAGCCTGATATTTGTAGTTCTGGGTTACAAGGCAGTGGTGATGCCTGAGCTCTCATTTGTGGGGATGTGGCCCACAGAAAAGGAAATTAGTTACCATGACACTATTTGTTTGTTTTGCCTTGAGGTTGGGCTCAGTGACATTCCAAAAATGTTGTTGAACTGATCCACCATAATAAAGGAATATCACACAAGGGCAGAAACAAGCTAAGCTACAAAATGCCATAAAAGTCTGAGACTTCTACACATTTGAACTGATCGACCATAATACAGTATCATCAAACAAGGATGGAAACAAGCTAAGCTACAAAATTCCATAAAAGTCTGAGACTTTTACACATTTGAACTGATCGACCATAATACAGTATCATCAAACAAGGACGGAAACAAGCTAAGCCACAAAATGCCATAAAAGTCTGAGACTTTTACACACTTGAACTGATCAACCATAATACAGTATCATCAAACAAGGATGGAAACAAGCTAAGCTACAAAATTCCATAAAAGTCTGAGACTTTTACACATTTGAACTGATCGACCATAATACAGTATCATCACACAAGGATGGAAACAAGCTAAGCTACATAATGCCATAGAAGTCTTTGACTTTTACACATTCTATACATTTATCTAGACGTTAGATCCTGGGTTGCTACTTTATAACATCTTTACCAGGATCTGAGATGAGCTCACTCGTTCAGCACATTCCTTTAAAACTCAATTATGGAAATGTATAAAACTTGATATGGTATTTGAGGGTTTGACAGTTGTGATTATTAAGTTATGATGATCCAGGATGTGATGCATGTAGCTTGATAGAATGGTACCAATGTTTTGCAGGAATCTACTGTCTCCCTCTTTACAGTAGAAGAAAAAACACCAGGTTTATCCAAAATGTTGGTACCCTATTTACCAAACAACATGGCACCACATCCCAGAAGACTAAGAGAGATTTACAGTTCTCACGACAGTGACTATGAAGATTTGTAATCTGATACCATGAAGACTGGTAGATCATTACCAGTGTTTCAGAAAAACCTGCTCTCTCCAGCATCAGGGCAGAAGAGTAAGCTGGGTGTGTAAAAAGTAGCAAGGACAGAGGGAGAATGAGGATGGGACTAGAGTCTAAGACCACCAACAGAAGGATGGTGTAAAGAACATAGCCCCTTTAAGGGGCTGTTTTTAAGGGCAGAGTGAGTTGGATAAAAAATGTCTTTGAGTGAAGCCAAAACTTCCCACTGGCATTCTCAGGGCCAAAGTCTCATACTCCATCTCCATATATCCTATTTTTCTACTCAGAAGATGGCGGCACCAGGTTCCTCAGTAATGACTACAAGACTACATACCTGAAGACAGTAATCTTCAGGTACAACAGCTGACAGAATACGTGAACAACACTGTAACAGACAACTAAGAAAAGTGGTGGAAAGGAGAGGAAGGAAAATAGAAACTGCGCTGTTTAGTATAGTGTAGTTACATATTTACTGAAGTATGATACATGAATGACCTGAGTACTGAGCCATCTTTCTTTTTGTGTAGGATCATGTCCGATGATAGGCTTTAATATCAGCAGTGCTGAGAACTTTGCATTTTGTTCTGCTACCACAGTGTTAGTTAATAACCCAGAAGCAAGTATATATGTTTTTAACAAAACAATGTTCCAATCCTGATTCCAATATGAAAAAGTTTTACCATATTGTGACATGTTGACCCCTACCTCCCCAGCGGTAACGTAGCGCTCGCGTAATAGGCGAGTAATTACCCCGCATCCTGGTAGCTATGCAACGCGCGGTGATGTCATGAGCGGAGCCGACGTTAGCCGAGTCCCCACGACCTTGAAGCTATGCAAAGCGAATCAACAGCGGTGACGTCACCGAGGGATATCGCGGTTGCTAGGCAGCAGTCAACAACTCCGGACAGCGTGGCTAGCAACACGGACCAGACGACAATTGTCCGATCAAGGCTACATAAGGAGCAGCGAAGGCTATTCACAGTCAGTTGTACTGTGACAGTCAGCCAGTCAGTGCGTTACCAACGAGTTCTCTGTTCGCAAGTTACGAGCTACAGATGCGTGTGCGATAACCAGTGATAACCAGTTATATCTGGAGTGTGTAATTCAGGGAGACTTGTATAGCTCCCGCGTTATTAGTACGTGAAGACAAGTGAAGATCGTGTTAAGAGACTTTGTTGTAGGGTTTGTAGAGAGTGGAAACCCGTAATATTGTGATAATTAATTGTAGCCGTTATTTGTAGATTGTTGCATAAACCAATTAACCATCTCTATGGCGTATTCTGTAACGAAAACACGTTACAATATTATCACATACCTTCAAGGAAGAGAAATGCATACAAAGTTTTGGTAGGAAAACGTGAAGGAAAGAGGCCACATGGAAGAGCTATGAACAGATAGCAGGCTCTAAAGGTACAGAATATGAGGCTGTGGACTGAATTCTTTTACTCAGAACAGGGACCAGTGGCAGGATCTTGTGAACATGGCAGATGAGTCTTTGAGTTCTATGAATTCTAGGAATGTCTTGACTACTTGAGTAACCATTAGCTTCTCAAGAAAGTCTCTGTTCCAAAAAGTTAGTTACTCACACATACCTTCATGGATCCTGCATGACTCTGAATGAAGTTGGACACAGCTGCCGACTCTGGTTCGGAGAAAGGACGGCTACCGGCATATATTTCCTTACAGGGTTCCTTACTCGATCCCGCTCCACCCCATTTGTAGCCAAAGTTCCGATTCAAGTCAGTTCCTGCACAGTGCCCAGAAACCTGCCGATTCTTACGCCAGAGTCTGTCTACACGGTGAGAGTATTCATAACCATCTGGGTTCAGAACAGGGAGTATATACCAGTCAACACTCTTGACATGCTCCCCATGGGCCTCTTGGTTTTCAGTCAGCTCATTTATGATGTATGTAACAGATGCTGGAGAGATCCACTCCCGAGCATGAATACCTGCAAATCAGAGCTACATTAAGCATCATATACAATCCAGAACTAACCAACCAACTGCTGACATTCTTGCAGCAGAACCCAAAGCCTGAAAGTACATAGTCGTGCCATCTGCTTGGATAAACTTGATACCTGCAGGTACTAGTGTCTCACTATGGAGGCCCACACCATCGATGAGAGGTACCGTGGTAGCTATTCCAATTTTATTTTAGTTTGTGCAATGAATTACCCTTATTTAAGACACATGGAAAGAAGCCATGAGGTCAATAAGTTAAAGTGTAAGTAGCTTTTGGAGTTCAGTTTTGTGTACCTACTCAAGCAAATGAGTTCTATTACAAACTGCAGACCAGCCAAAGAAACTTCCACAGGAACATAACACAGCATGGAAGTCAATAAAAATAACAGGTTTCACATTAATGAATTTCAAAATATGGGCCTATTTTAGAGAACACACTCCTTCTGTAATATAGGGGAATGCTGTATTGTACAATTGAGCTGCTGCATTTTAGAGTAATACAGAATTTAATAAAAACATTTACTATGACAAAACTGATATTTCCACAAAATAAAATGACAGTACTGAACATACATGGAGATTTTTGTAATGGATGATGAATCAGTTTTGGAATCTTGACATGTGTTAACTGTAAGTGACTTGTGATCGGAGAGTATTTAGAAAATTCAAGACAAAAAAATGCTGCAAAAGAAACTGTATGGTATGAAAACACTAGGTTAATATTAGCAAAACAAGATAATATGCAAGAGTTTGCCTGATATTTCATTAATGTTGCAGGGGAACAACAGAGCTCAGCAATTATTATTCTGCTAAACTGTTTAAGGACGTCACTAACCTCCATCAATCCAGATGGCTGGGCGGCCAGGACTGCCAGAGGATATTTTGAGCACTTTAAGTGGACGTCCTTCCACTGAACTACCAATGGTCTGGAGGCTCACAAGCTGGGGGTAGGTCTGGGCAAGGTAGTCCAAATAGCCATGAATGTCTGCAAGTCGGTGATATGACTGCCAAGTCATGCGGTGACCTGAACTCAAGCACGTACAATGTATGAATACAAAGGTAGCTTTCACTTTTATAACAACAATTTTATCTAATCTATGGCTGTTGAGACTAACACATACCTGTAAGACTGTAAATAATTACAGTTCAATTTTGTAATCAGTCCTTGTGGCTTGCACTGCACCAAAACAGGAAGTATAATAAAAGGGAAAATTCCTCCTTGTATTAATTAGGCACTATCCTATGAACAAACTGGCAAGTGAACCATGATTCTTTGGTTGTGCAGCCTGTAGGCTAGCCTAGTCAGTATACCAACTGAGGTATGAACTCACCTTTCCTGCCTTCCAATTCCTCCATTTCTTCCAGTGTCATGGTAGGGTTCTCTGTGTCAATGGCTGCCTGCAAGTTGTCGATGACAACATTGAACGTGAGTCCACTATTATCAAGGAACTCCTTCACCATGCCTGCAGTCTCAGGCCTCACCAGCACATCCACTGTCGAACTGTTAGTGGCAAGTGGTAACCACGTATCGACACCTGATATCGGGAGTTAACACAACTTTAACAGCAGTGCGTCAGGAAAATGCATAATGATAAATATAATTCAGGGTGACTGCCTGCTTTACAGATCTGTTCATGTCAAAAAGAGAAAACCAGGATATGACGCATCTGCAAAAGCCTAGGGAGCCAGGACAGCACAGTCGGTACAGCGATTTGCTATGGGATGGATGACTGAGGGGTCGGAGTTCAAGTCCTAGTAAGGTGAAGAATTTTCTCTTCTTGTCATCCAGACTGGCTCTGGGGCCCACCTGGCCTCTTATCCAATGGGTACCGCGGACCCTTTCCCAGGGTGTAAAGTGGGCAGGACATGAAGCTGGCCACTCGCCTCCAACTAGTGCCGAGATCATGAAAATGTGGATCTATACATCCACTCCCCCATATGCCTTCATGGCATAGTGCTTAATTAGTTGAGCACAGAGACAACTTCACCTTTTTACCGTATCTACCATAGCCTATAATATACTGAACTGTATATTCATGTTCACCATACACCAACATTAATGGTGCTTATACACAGGGCCCACCTGTACCTCTTTCACTGCTAGAAGTAGCATTCTCAGTACACTGTCTATCAGAATTACAAATAATTAACTCCATAAAGCAGAGCCTTTACTGAGACATGGACAGTCATTCAGCTGATTAAAGTCCTCCTCACATTTTATGTAACCTGAAAATTAGTTACTGCATTCACAAGATCCTGCCACTAGACCCTACCCTGATACACCTGATCATAAGCCACCCTTCACATTCTAAATTCTATAAGGTAAACAGGTAAAGCCATCACTCACCCCATCAAGATGTATGGAGACGCGGGTGCAGAGCTACACTCATTCTAAAATGTGGCACTAGATGGAGGTGAGTGACCACCTTCATGCCCCAGCCTCCTAACTTTTGGGGAAACATCCACCGGCAACACACTAGTCCCACAGACTGTATGGACATGACGGAGGTCAGAACAATCTCTTTCGCTTTCTTCGAATCAATCCGTGGTTCCTCAGTTGTCCACCAAGTAGCTTAGCTGGTATACAGACTGAGGTATCTTGGCTCCTCCTTACTTATATAAGGTAAAGTTGACTCTGTGCTTAACTAGTTAAGCACTATGCCATGAAGGCATATGGGGGAGTGGATGTATAAATCCACATTTTCTTGACCTTGGCACTAGTTGGGAGTGTGTGGTCAGCTTCACGCCCCAACCGCTTTACCCTGGGGAAAGAGCCCTCAGTACCGGTGTTGTGCCCATTTTATTAGACATTAAGGATAGGTTTGTAAGATTGGATATTTAGGTTAAAACGCCAGACGGCTGGCAGGAAGGTGAGGAGACAGAGCCGCGGCTGACTCTTCGCATTCCTTATCAGTCGATTGAATTGTCTTTAGAAAAGACTGTTTATGCATCAGTGGAAAGACCCGGTCAGGTTTCGCTTTGCGTGACAAGCAATGTCCACCAAGTTGCCGACCTAAGGGATTTCGCGTGAGCAGCCTTTGCGACTTGCGGAAAAAAAAAAGTTGAATTTTGGAATTGAAACAAACACGCCGTTTCAGGCACTCTGTTTCTAGCAGTTGTGAGAAATGGAGGAGTAGAGCAAAGTGTGCCTGTGGAAAACCTTGGGATGGCACCAGTGTTTTTCATGTGCATCATGTTCAGCGCGAGTGAGTACTTGCCCGTGGTCGTGTCACTGACTGTTAATTAGAACTTCTGGTTTTAATTATTTTGGTTGGTTAATGTGTTCTTAGGACAGAGTTGTACTAGTGGTTTATTTTATTATTATATTACTCTTTTGTTGTTGTTTTGAGAACTCGAGTTATTTGTGATCCCCCTAGTGCAGCATGTTTTTCACAGCACAGGTTAAAAGATATCCATGGACGTCCGATAGGGGGTGAGTACAGTCACTGACCCCTATCAGGGCACAACAAATTGTTGGCAGCAGTGGGATGTTGTCATTCTGCTCAAATTACTGGACTTACGCACCGGAGATGGTTAAGAAATTTGTGGAAACATGGATAACTTTTAACCACCCACGAGTTTAAGTGGCAGTGTTTTGATTCATGTGCTGCCGTAACTACACATACGGATTTGTAGGGATCAAATATGTTTGCTGTGGCGCTGTGATTTCTTTTTAAATTTGTTAAAATTATTTTTAAGGGTAGAAGCATATGTTGAAAAATTTAAGCATTTAGCGGTTGAACTTGAGTGAGAATTGCTTTTGAAGGGAAATTGTGGGAGACCTACAAACATAGTTTAGCTTACAGTAGATACACATTGGCCCTCTGGCGTGAAGCATGGCTCGTGTAGCGGAAATGGAGGTTCTCCAAGCACAGATGGTGGAACTACGGGTTCAGTTGGAAACCCTCAGAATTGGGGAGGCCCACAGAGGGCAGAGCAAGGACGTTTCACTTGTAGCCGCGATAAAGGAATGGATGGGGGAAAGTAAGGAGATCCGTATACGAGTTTTTAACGCAGATAGAGACATTGACCAAGGTAAGTGGGTGGACTAGCCATGATAAAGCTTTCATTGTTAAGGCCAAATTACAAGGGTTGGCGATGCAGTTCTTGAATGGAAGGGAAGAGCTAGGCCGAGATGGATGTCCCTACGAAGTCCTGAGGCAGGCACTCATTGAGAGGTTCAGTGACAAGCTCCCTGACCAGTATTACTATACTAGACTACAGGACGCGGTTCAGGGGAAGAACGAAAGCGCGGAAGAGTTCAGTGACCGTTGTAGGAAGATGTGTCTAAGAACCATCAGGAAGGTCAACGACGAAGAGCCCCAGTGTATAATTAATGAGGAGGCAGAATGTAGGTTGTTGGCAGCCTATGTTCACGGTCTTAGGGGCATAGTGGGGCAACAAGTACAATTTCAGATGCCCAGCACAATGGAGCAGGCACATGCTCAATGCTGTGGAAAGAAATTACAGTACGTCTCAGGAGGAGTTACTAGCTGTTGTATTTGGTACACAAATATATAGGTGCATTTTATATGGGAGAAAATTCAAAATTGTTACCGATCATGCCGCCCTTAAGTGACTGATCACTGTGAAGAACCATCATTGTGCACGATTGACTAGATGGGTTCTCAAATTATCTGAATATGACTTTGAAACTGAACACAAGGCAGGCAAGAAGCATGTAAATGCGGACTGCCTATCGCGCCATATCGCTTCCGTTGCTACAGAAGCCGCAAACTGGAGATGTCAAAATGCTGAGTCAGGCGAAAGCCTCATTCGTAGGACTGTTTTCACGGGACAGCAACAGGATCCGTTTTGTAAGGAAATAATGGATGAGATTAGCACTGGTACGGGGTCAAAATTCTTTATGAGTGACGATGGGCTTTTGTACGTGGGACCAAAGTTGGAAAACTGAAGGTTGATTGTACCTCATAACTTGATACAGCCCGTTACTGAAATGCATCATGATAAGGGGTTTGCAGGGCACCAGGGGGTGAAACAGACCCGAGACTTAATTAAACTTAATTACTTTTGGCCCAATATGGACCGGGATGTAGAAACGTATGTGAGGCGGTGCGAATCGTGTGCCAAGTTCATGGTAGGGCGACACCCCACTGCACCCTTGGGAGAGTTACCTGAGACGACCTCCCCATTCGAAATGACCTCCATAGATATATGTGGCCCTTATCCAGAAACAAAGAAGGGAAATCGGTACCTTCTTACTTTTATAGACCACTTTAGTCGTTATCTGGAAGCTATCCCCAGACCCCGGCAAGACACCCTGGCAGTTGCACGGGCTCTTGTTACGGAGATATTTTCGCGGTTGGGTTGTCCTCAGGCTCTATCATCGGATAAAGCATCCCACTTCATGTCAGAACTTTTCCAGGAGATGTGTAAGCTGCTGCAGGTGAAAAGAATTAACTCCACTGCTTTCAATCCGCAGATGCAGGGCAAGCCTGAGAAATTTCACTTGGGACTCAAACAAACTATGAGCCACTATGTAAATAAGTATGGGAATGACTGGGATGAGTTCGTGAACTACGCCTTGATGGTCCATAGGGCCATTCCTCATTCCATTACTTGATACAGTCTGTTTTACTTGTTACATGGACGTCAGATGCGCCTTCCCATGGAGGATGACCTCACCACTGGAAAATTTTTAAAGGGGGAACCGAAAGATAACCGTAGTTTGATTCAGGACCACATTGACACTTTGGCTGACCGCCTCGAGGAGGCGTACCGTGTTGTAAGGGAAAATAATAAGGTGTGCAGAGAGAGACAGAAGGAATGGTATGATAAGGGAACCAGATTAGTTATTTTCCAAACCGGTGAAATGGTTTATCTTCGTCAGATGAGCAAGGTCAAACGTGACTGTCCAAAATTTAGGCTTAGGTGGACGGGCCCTTACGAGGTGGTACGCAGATTGTTCGATTTGAATTATCTTGTGCGAGTATCCCCGAAGAAGGAGCTGGTGGTAAATGTTAACAAAATGAAAAAAATGTTGCGTGAAAACTGTCCCCGCGCCAAGTGGGACAAGGGATATCCTGGCAAGGGTTCAGGAAAGAGACGAAGGTCAGGACGAGGTGAATGACGAGGGAATAACTCCACTTGTCTCCCATGATCACGTGGAGGATGAAGGTAGCTCCGTCTTTACGTCTGCCACTTTGACAGGCGAGAGGACCGAGGATCGAAGTCAGGACCCCACTTGGGAACCCAGTAGACGTCAGGAGGTTCAGAGAGCCACCGACGAGTCACCCGACACCGGAAGGGAAGCGGGGGCTGGGTACTGGTTACGGAGTAGGCAAGGGGAAGACACAGTAGCGTCCGATGGGACCCCGACAGAAAGAGAGGGCGAAGGGATTGACCCCAAGGAAACGGACGCCGAGCCCCCCTCCCGAGCGCATTACCCGACACAGGGAACGTCCCGGCACACGAGGAAGGCACTGAGCAACCCCCTCGATATAATTTGAGACCACTCCCAGGGAGGAAAATTTATATAATGAATTGTTTTGTTGCTTAGACAATTAACCTTTTTGTTTTATTACAGATGTAGGAGTACATAAAGACAAGGGATGGGGAAGTGATACACGCCATTCAAAAGCAATTAATTTATCTTAAATCCATAGACGAGGCCATTTCCGAGAATGCTATGGGATTGGCGACCGTCACTCGCGTTCTTAAGTGTGTGATCACTAACGCTTTTACTCATCAGAAAACAGTTGAAGACGAAATTCAGAACTTGAAAACGTTGATACATTTTCAGGCAAATGTTTCACGCTTCATGCACGAACTGGAATTTACGGTGATGCAGTTACAGCAATCGGTCATACAGCTGCAAGAGGGGTTAGAAACCAGCGCCGTTGGCAGGCTATCTTCAGTTTTGATTCCTCCGCATAACTTATCCAAAATTTTACAAGAAGTTGCTTTGAGACTGCCCCAGGATCTTTCGCTAATAGCCGGTTTTACTATGGAAAATATGTACGTGTACTATGAGGTTGCGACTGTGCAGGCATACGCTACCGCTACGGCCATTCGTCTCATAGTACGCATCCCACTGAGGTGCCGATCGAGTTATGACCGTTTTTAAGAGTGTTCCTTTACCAACCTATTCAGATGTATTAGGAAGACACCTGCAGATTGAACCAGAAGCACCTTATTTAGCAGTGACCGAAAACAGGCAGTACTACTCCCCCCTGGCGACGGTAGACTTGCAACAATGTAAGAAGGGATCAGTTACTATTTGTGAAGCCACTTTTCCGTTTATACATAAGAAACAAGCGACTTGCGCTTCGGCTTTATACTTCGGCCAGTCAGATTTTGCACATAAATTTTGCCAGAAGGTTATTTTAAAGGAAAAATTTAATCCCGTATGGCTTCAGGCGAAAGGATTTCGCCCTTTTTGGGTTTATAATCTGCCCTCGCCAACTACTGTTATTAAGACATGTAAAGTGAATGGCACCACCCAAAGTTTTAATATTGAATTATTTCACACGGGCATATTAATGGATGATATTCATTGTCAGTTTTATTCTGAGGCGGTTATTTTGTTGCCGGTGGCGGATGGCTATACGAATGTGTCGCTCACCAGCAACCAGCTGCTACCCCCACACCTGTCCGAGCTGATGTCGCCTGAGGAACGGCGCCAAATCACGCACAATGAGTTGCGGACACGTCGTGCACTTGCGGCCCTCGAGATCGTCGCGCGACAGAGTTCGCACGTCAACCAACAACCCTACGTCGAGCTGAGAGATCTCCTGGACACTGTGTCTACTGATGGGGCTATGAAGAGCCAAGTAACTTGGTTGTATATTGTTGTATTTTAGCGTCCTGTTGCACTGATTTTCATCCACGATGCGTATGTAATGGCCGTCTTGTAGTGCACTCAATTTCATATGTCGCTTCTTACTACATGTTTCGGCAAGTTTTAGTATCTACAAATTTTATTATAGTTGACGAATAATGTACTTTCTAAATAATTTTATGAAAGACACAAGATGGCAAACAATGTAATAGCTTAGCGTAAATAACGAACCTGAAGATGGCACTATGTTGCCGAAACATGTAGTAAGAAGCGACATACGAAATTGAGTGCACTACAAGACGGCCACTACATACGTATCTTGGTTGTATATATTGTTCGCCTTTAGCATTGTCCTGCCATTTGTAGTCCTCACCCTTAAATACTGGCGACGTCCTATAACCCTCCTGATCCGGAGAGTTCTCCCATGTACCACTGACCAACGACCATGTATATCTCAGACAGCGAATCGACCGGCCGCACGCAGAGTCCAAGCTATGGACTCAGTGGTGACCAATCGCCTTGGCTCTGTCGAAACTCCCAATGAGAATTTGGAAGACACGGCGTCACATTCCGCTGTGTCACTTCGGGCGGAAGCAGAAACGGTATCCGGACCAGCTTCAGCTGCCCAGCCCGAGGCCGCTGAACGGACGTACTTCGCCCAGCCCGGATGATTCCAGTTCCGGAACTGATCGAGGAAAGGGGGCAACGACCCCACGCAGAGGCCCAGAATAACTGCGGCGATAAACGAGTGAATTATTTGAAGGACTCACCCATGAACTTTGCCACTGTTTAAACTTGTATTTTCTTTTTGCATACCCCGCATATAGTGTTTGGGTACTATATTTGTTATTTTTGTTGTGATATAGTAGCTAACTGTTTTTGTAAACGTTCACGTGGTTACAGCTTGGTGTTCGTTATGTTGGAGAAATCGTAGAGGTGGATGTGAGATGCAATGGACCCAGTGAGTTCAGGTGGTAAGAGGTCTGGATGAAAACCTTAACTCGGCGGAGTTAATATTTCCATTTTATTAGACATTAAGTATAGGTTTGTAAGCTTGGATGCTTAGGTTAAAACGCCAGACGGCTGGCCGGAAGGCGAGGAGACAGAGTCGCGGCTGTCTCTTCGCATTTCTTGTCAGTCGATTGAATTGTCTTTAGAAAAGACTGTTTATGCATCAGTGGAAAGACCCGGTCAGGTTTCGCTTCGCGCGACAAGGAATGTCCAGCAAGTTGCCGACCTATGGGATTTCGCCGCGAGCAGCCTTCGCGACTTGGGGGGGGGGNTATTTGCGATCCCCCTAGTGCAGCATGTTTTCCACAGCACAGGTTAAAAGATATCCACGGACGTCCGATAGGGGGTGAGTACAGTCACTGACCCCTATCAGGGCACAACACCGGCCTGGACGACACGGAGAAGAGAAAATTCTCGGGACTCCAACTCCGGCCCTTCGGTCGTCCAGCCTGCAGCCAGTCTCTATACTGACTACGCTAACCCGGCTATTTCCATTCTTATATATGACATACTTTAATATTATTCTCATATCTACGCCTAGTTTCTGAAGTCGATTCCCTCCAGCTTTCCTGGAAAGAATTTTGTATACATTTCTCATCTTCCAAATGCATGCTACATGCCTTCCCCAACTCACCATTCTCAATTTCAATATTCTAATAATAACTGCAATTGGTTATGAGATTTTAATTATACAGTCCCTAATCATGTCAATTTATCTGTTTTTCCTGTTATTTCCTGCCTTTTACAGGCGAAATATTGGTAAAGAAGCCCCCGTGCTTATTTAAGCACCACGCCATGAAGATGTATGGGGAAGTGGACGTAGGGCTCCATGTATTCTTAACCTGGGTGATAGATGCAGATGAGTGGTCAGCAATCCCAGTTTCTTGGGTTCAAATATTCTCATCAGCACCCCGTTCTCAACCACCTCAACCGTCCCTACAAAAATAATGGCACTTGTCACTCTAATCCTATCCTAGCGAGGACCTCACCTGCTTATTCTGGGATAAATATCCTTACCTTCCATGTCCTGTAGCTTCTGCAGGACTTCTTTCTTTTCTTCTGTAGGAGCTGTCACCTTCAACAGCTGTGATCCCTCATACGAGATTCGAGCTTCCTGTTCAGGGTCGGGGGTGGCCGTCCCCTCATCGGCGTGTAGGGGTGCGAAGAGCACGCACAGCACTAAAAGCGACTTCATGACTGAACCGACAGCACTCACGATCTGGTCTCTTATAGACGCCACGATGTGACCCCTGCAGTCAGTCCTCTTCTACCTTTTCAGGAAATGTTTGCCGCGCCTCGACTTGTGGTAGGTTACCATCATTCAATCATCGACTACTCGTCAGTATGCCGCAGGAGTTATTCCGGATGGCCCAACACGTAAAGAAACGTTCTGAGTTCCGAAGCACTTGAAGAAATCAGGAATACTCTCTATGTGGGAAGGCTCAACACGAGAAGAAACATTCTGAGTTCCGAAACACTTAAAGAAATCAAGAACGAATTCTCAGTTTCAAGTAGAATTGCTGTCTTTGAGTTATCAGTGCCCTCTGGTGGTTACTCAGCTAATACCACACTTCATTGTGGTCTTGTGCTGAATGAATGAAGTTACCTTCTAGCTGAATATGCACCTGCGTGGCGACTTTCAGAAAGCTGAGGTACTCCAAACACAAACACACGATCAGACCCACACGTCACATGCATTTGGCTGGACAGTCTCATAAAGAAACAAGACAAACACAACTCAGGGACGAGATTCGAACCCGGCACTTCCCGAACACAAAATCGATGGTTCAATCAACCACTTATACAGTTTGTGTAAAGATGGTTGGAGCGCGAAACCATGCATAATCAGCAAGAAGCAGGAGGAAAGCAGAGTGTTCTGCTTTGCTGGTTACTGTATCAAATCCCTGACGATAATATTCTTCAAGAAGATGAAATTCTCTTCTGTCGTCTGGCTGTCTACCGTCGGTAATAACATGTGATAATGACATGGATAAGAACAATTAAGCTTGAATTAGTTCCATTACATAAACAGACGAGGAACATAACTATAGGTCGTAATATTATTTACAACCCTTCTTCTAAACATTTCATCATGCATCCACTAATTCCCGGTAATAAATCAGAATTCTCTTACGAAAGATTAAATAAAATAAAATTCCCCCGTAAAGCAAACTTTACGGTTTCCTACGGGAATTCATCGTAGCCATTCTGTTATTCCACGTCTCAATCTGTGTACCATGCCAATGGAAGCAAAAAATATTACACTGAACAATCCACGATTCCATTCACATCCTACAAGAAAAAGAGAGAGAAAAAGAGAAGAAGAAAAAAAAAACACATTTCTCTAACATCCATCCTAATGTTTAAGGCTGGGGCCACACGAGGGCACAAAATGTGTCCGTTGTAGATATATACAAGAGAGGCGAATGCTACGCTTTCTTCTGGCTCCATTGCAGACAAAAAACTACACATCGCATTCTGCAACTGTGTGGTGTCCTCAGCAACGTCCGTTGTAACGGATGTACTTCGTGCGCTCGTGTGGCCCCAGCCTAAGGCTCTCAGACCGTGACTATAAGAATTACTGTCTTCCGGGACGTGATTCCGTGTAGTCTGGTAGATCGTTTCGGAAGGACCCAATGTCCCCATCTTCAAGGCGCTCTTATACCTTGAAGACAGAGGGATGATGTTCTTCCGAAACGTGGATACATTTGCCATAAAGACATTCTCCCACTTCCTTCCTAGTCATAGCAAGTGGTGGTTTTCCAAAAGGTTTCCTCAGCAAAATTTTCGACGCATTTCTGTTTAACCCCAACCTAACCATATGCCCAGTCCATCCCAGTTTCCTCCATTTCTATATCCCAATATACTAGGCCAGCCACGGTATCCGAGCGGTCTAAGGCATGAACCGTCTTCGTTCGTTCGGAAGCCAGGATCGTTGGTTCGAATCCCACTCAAGGCATGGATGTCAAGTGTTTGTTTGTTTGTGTGTGTGCGCGCGCGTTTTTCTGTGTTTATGTACAGTTAGAAGCCTTGCGACGAGCTGATCAGCCGCCCAAGGAGTCCTATCGAATGTCTAAGATCTAGAAAACCGAAGTGAAACGGAGAGTTTCGTGGAGGTAAGCCAAGGCCGAAATTGTGGCTGTAGTGCCAAAGGGGGGAAAATTTATATACTAGGCGACGTATAAAAATTACCTTCGTCACGTGTTGTCCTAACAAGCGCTCTCACTTCAAAGCTCTTCGGCCCACATATTTTCCGGAGCAGTCTGTTTTCAAGCACTTGTAATTTCAAATCTGCAGATTTAATGACGGCTCAAGTTAATAAAATCCATGTCAACTGGTTAAAAACTGCCAACGTGTCTGGGAACATCTGTCCCCGCCATCAGACCCTGATATAAGGGAAAGAGATGGTCCCTAAAATGACGATAATTTCTGATCAACTGACATGGCTGATAGGCCACGAAAATTTTATCGCCTTGCAATTCACGCTATTCTCATAAAAAGAGCTGTCAACATTACTGCATGTTGCCACTTGTTTTATACGAGAATAAGGTGTATATATCAGTCAAGATGGCTCAATCCGTATAGTGAACTACGCGCTGGATGATCGAAGAGTCAGTGTTCGATTCCTGGGCTGCGTGAGACATCTTTCTTCCTCTTTTCCACAGCGTTCAGACTGGCTCTGGGGCCCACCCACCCTCCTGTAATAAATGTGTATCGGGGGCTCTACACCCGGGGGTAAGGAAGTCGGAGCGTTAAGTTGATCACTCACATCATTTTTGTGCAGAGGTCAAGAACGCGTGAAGCTTTACCTCCAGTTCCCCATATACCTTCATGACGTGGCGATTTAAGGCAATTAACTTTACATATATTTTCCCTACCTACACACCTTGCTATTACGAATTCTCGTATGCGGGGTGGTAACAGCTTTTTAGTTGAGCAACACCCTTCTCTATTGGACGGGTGAAATGAAGGCTGTAACCCACAGTGTTGGTTGCATAGGAGCTCGATTATACGCACAATATTCTGATAGAGTTTGGCATAACCATGAAACTAGTTAGGTTGATTAAATTGTGTTTAAACGAAAAGTATAGTAAAGTACGTGTACGTAAACATTTGTCTGATAACTTTCCTATCCAGAATGGTCTAAAACAAGGAGACGCTTTATCGCCACTCCTTTTCAACTTTGCCTTAGAATATGCAATTAGGAAGGTCCAGGGAAACCAGGTGGGACTGAAACTAAACGGGACACATCAGCTGTTGGTCTGTGCTGATGATGTGAATCTACTGGGTGATAATATATATACCATAAACAAAAACAAACAAACCTTAAATGACGCAAGTAAAGGGGTTGGTCTAGAAGTAAACACAGAGAAAACTAAGTACATGTTACTGTCTCGTCACCAAAATGGAGGGGAAAATCATGACATAAACATAGGAAACAGATGTTTTGAAAATGTGGCACAGTTCAGATATTTGGGAACAACGATAACAGATCGAAACCTGATTGAGGAGGAAATTGAGGGGCGATTGAATTCGGGTAATGCTTGCTACCATTCAGTCCAGAAACTTTTGTCTTCTCGTCTGTTGTCCAAAAACATAAAAATTAGAATATACAAAACTATAATTTTGCTTGTGGTTCTGTGTGGCTGTGAAACTTGGTCTCTGACATTAGGGGAGGAACACAGACTGAGGATGTTTGAGAACAGGGTGTTGAGGAGAATATTTGAACCAAAGAGAGATGAAGTGACAGGAGGTTGGAGAAAACTGCACAATGAGGAGCTTCATAACTTGTACTCTTCTCCAAGTATAATTAGAATGACCAAGTCAAGGAGGATGAGGTGGGCAGGTCATGTAGCACGAATGGGGAAGACGAGGAATGCGTATAGATTATTTGTGGGGAAAGCCAGAAGGAAAGAGACCACAGGGAAGACCAAGGCGTAGGTGGGTGCACAATATTGGAATGGATCTTAGAGAGATAGGATGGGAAGGATTGGATAGATCTGGCTCAGGATAGGGACCAGTGGAGGGCTCTTGTGAACACGGTGATGAACCTTCAGGTTCCATAAAATGCTGGGAAATTCTTGAGTAGATGCAGAATTGGCGGCTCCTCAAGAAGGGCTCACCTCCATGAGTAAGTAAGTATGTGAGACACGCATTGTAAGACATTTGCATGCTGATACATGCGCAGATAAGCCCCAGGAGCATGGGTTCACTCGGACAATTCTAAAACTGTTTCTCTGTATCACTTCCTGAAGCACATTTTAACACCAGCGCCTTCTTTCGGCACATCCCTTCCTGGTTCAACGGCCTCACGGAAGGGGCACCTGGGGGTGGGCCAATCCTGACTGGCACATGATCACTACACGTTCAGTCACTTAGAAGACAAAAGTCACTGTCACCGGCAGATTATGAATCCAGGAGGGCAAATGCTGAAATCCCTGCGCTAGGTTTCTCAGCCGCTGGCGTCACGTGACAATTCGAATTCAAACGGATTTTTATACAGCTCAGTGAGTATAGCGACAGGCTACGGGCTGCAGGCCAGAGGATTTGGGATTCGATTCCCGAGCGTCCAGACCGACTCTGGGGCCCACCCAGCCTCCTATCCAATTGCTACCCAGGGCTATTTCCGCGAGGGTAACGCGGCAGGGGCGTAAAGCTCATTACTCACCATAACCTAGTGCCAAGGCCAAGAACGGTGGAGCTATACCTCAATTCCCTCGTACGTCTTTCTACATAAAGCGTACTATCTTGGATGTGACGTTATGTAATGCGGTAGAAGTTCAACGACGTTTCGGAGGAACGTACTAACTTCATTTTTAACGTCGAAGCTTAAGTCAAGCAAGTAACCAGCGACGGCAGACAGAGTTCTGCTTACCGCCTCCTTCTTTGTAACTGACATTTGGGGTGTCAAGCCGGAACGTACATAAGCAAAGAACTGAACTGTACCACTCTGCATGTAGACTGCACTTTCATGGCTATTTGCTTGACTTACTGCTCGACCTTTAAAATGGAGGCAATATGTTCTTCCGACACGTCGGTAAGCTTCTACCGGACTACACGGCTCTACCTCCCATAATACAGTACTCCTCATAGCCATCGCTATGAAGGCCTCACATTCAACACAGAACTTCTCCATATTCAACGATATTTGGATTGTAATCCTGTTTATTGATTTGTATATGACTTATTCAACAACGGCGTAAGTAGCTAACACTAGCGTGGTTGGTTGAAGTACTATGCTACAAGCCGGAAGGTCGCGAATTCGATTCTCGAAGAGGTCACTCGATTTTTAAATTGACCTAAGCCTTCCAGCTGCACTATGGCCCTCGGGTCGACTCAGCTTCTAACAGAAATGAGTACCAGGAATCTTCCCTTGGAGTAATGGGAGGCCGACACGTAAGGCTGACAACCTTACCGCCATCTGTGAGCCGACTGTCTAGAAACTGTGGGAGCCTCGACGTCTCACAACCCTATGGGCCTCCACGGCCCGTCACAGGGATACCTTTACCTTTCACCTTATACACTTATGTTACTTTTCAACGCAGTCGCCGCCGGAGTTCAGGCACTTGTATCGGAGAATAAGTTTTTGCATGCTTGTGTGAAACAAGTTTGCGGCCTGTGAGCCCAGTCACGTTTCGTATTGCGAAACACTATAAAAACTGTGTACGGTCATTGAGAAAAAAAAGAAGCATGGAATACTGACATTCGGTGTAATGCTTCTCCATGACAATGCGCGTCCGCATACTACTGCTCGCACTCCAACACTGCCGGAGCATTTCAACTGGGAGTTGTTTG